ATACCATACAACTAACAATAAATACATAACTAAATTTCAAATTAAATTGTTCATGTTTCGATTGTGTATGAGCAATATCAGTTGACATTGTGGGTGCCCATGATAGAGCTAAATAATTATACTTAACTTCACAATGTTGACCAGTAGTACATCGGTGACATACACATTCTTCCGTGGTACCATTTGTAAAACATAAACCATTATTAACACAATAGTTAATTAAACATATCGATGTATTACTCATTATTTCTAGCTTATGATGAAATATGTATGTTCTAATCTTTATATGTTAGGTGTTGCTGTTTTCTGCATGAATAAAAATGAATTATATATTTACATATATATGTATACTCGCAGCTATATGTACGTAATCATAGTTAAATATGATCTCGAAAATTATAATAAAAATTTATTACTTGTCATCTGCCTACATATTTACTATAAAAATAAACCTAACCAACCAAATAGCGTTGAGTGTCAAAAATACATAGCCTTGCAAATTTGTATTTTGAAACTTTTATGTCATCGGAAGCCCTTATGCAGAAGAACAGGTATTTTTTGAAGTTTTTCTGTTCTGCTTTGTAATATTAATTTTAAACAATTAGTTCATACTATGTATTCATACTAAGGCCTATGGAATCCAAATTCCGGGTCATAACTTCACCATTTCGAGACGAAATTGTAAAAGTCTTTCGTCATTCGCCGCACGAGATTCTACCCTATCCGATTATATACAGAAAAATGTCGTGTATAATGATAAAGTTTAGTACAGTAATCAATTAAAAATAACATGCGATTTTTCCGTTCTATTTAGTTCTGTTTACGCACTCTACCTTTAAACACATATCTTGAATGAAGAAACTCAGAAGAAGAAAATGATATTTCGTAGTTTGAAAAACGCTTAAAGCTTTCGTGAAAGTGAAATCATACCGAACGAATAAAGGGTTATGAAAGTACCCTTAGAGTATTCCGGAAAGGGTTTTAGATGTCTGTGATACTCCTTTTTCGTTCGATTTTGGTTCAGTTTCCCGAACGAGCTCTCTCAAATCTAAGTACAAGACTTTGGCTGAAACCTGACAATCACGAAAAGTTTGGATAGTTCCAGCGGATTTTTATAATTCTTAGGAAAATTTAAAAGCCCGAAGAAAAGAACTGGAGGTCATTTATTTATTTGGTGATGTCAGCGACAGTAGGAAAAAAGCCATCTTTCTATCAGAGATTTGCCGAATCTCTTGTTATGCTAATAACAACTCGTTTCAACTAACTAACCTAATCGAAGAGAGATATGACACAACTCTTGATGTATTGATAATAAGATAAAAATTAACGGACACAACTGACTGGAAAACTAGCTGGTATTACTCCTTCGACCAGTGAGAAGATATCACGTATTCTCATTCTCAATAGTTGAAAAAATCTCTGATTTAACTTCACTATACAAATGCAACAGCAACTTGCGGAATAACTTTGCTTCTTTTGACTGAGAATGGAGTTTGCACTAGTTCATCCTACGTGCATTACTCATGTTGCCATAAAGCAACAAATACGAGCACAACTTTAATACTTTCTTTTCAGAATGATGTGTCCGAATCGTTGTTAGATGATGTTAGTGTCCAAGGATCAGATTCAACATCTATGTCACTCAATGGAGCATCTGAATCTTGTTCAAGCTATTTGCTTGGCACGGCTGGTTCATCAGAAATTGAGGTCGTGTACACTACGAACTCATTTTTCTGGAACTTTTTTGTTTCGCTAGGTATCTTAGGTATTTAGGGTAATCTAGAGTATCTTAGATATCTAAGGTATCTTAGGTATCTACGTAGATACCCTAAGGTTTTTGGGGTATCTAAGGTATATTGCGAATTTAGGATATCGTGCAAGTACTTTTCGAGCTCACTCTCAACCTCACCTCTCCCTCCCCTCTTCCGCCGGCTACGAATAGCCTTGTAGATGTGTTCGATAGATATATATAATATAATTCGCTGCAAACTGGAAATGTGACTACTGTATTTGAGTTCGCAGCGAACTGATATTGTGCACAGTATGCAGGAGGAACAGCTGGGGCGAATAGCGGATTAGGGTATTATAGTGCTGCTGTAAGTGGAGGCATGGATTCTCCGTATCAAATATTTTCAAGAGTTTAAGGTCAAAATTATAATGTTACATTTTACTTAGTAAATGGCGGCGGCACATTAGGCCTTGCTACAACATGTTCAGCGGAGGTCACTATTGTTTAATAAAAAAGTGTAGTTAAAATCGCAGAACGATAGTGGTCGTAGTAAATGATAAGAAAATCGTTAAAGTATTCGCGTAATACACTGTATTATAATGAAATTCAATAAATATATAGTCTAGTACTTCAGTTATCATATTTAATTTTTGTAAAAATATTTAATAACTACATGATGTGTCCTATAGAGACTCAAAATGAATTTGAGGCTCTAACTGGAAATTTGTATCGAATTATTTCATTGATGATGAACAGTATTGATATTTATTATATGATTATCTTACAACAAGCTATTTCAACCCTTTATAATCTGATATTGATCTTTTGGTTTTAATTGGTTAATCTGTTAATCAACAAATACATGGATAACTAGCTCAACTACTTCTGAAGCTCTTGGGAACATTGATTATAATTTTTATTGATCAGAAAAGGTTTATAAGTGTTAATGATCCATCGTCTCACTCAATACAAATCAGGTGATAGAGAAACGTTCATCATCGATGAAATTTTCTCTTTCGTCTGGAAAAAAAGAGCCAACTGTGTTTTGTGCACAGTGGGCAATTTTGCCTAGGCATGTGGACATTGGATTTTAAAGCGCTGGAAAGATCTCTCAGATATGTTTTTGTAGGTTTTCGAGTGTGCTCTTTCTAATGGAGTCACTGACAAAGTTCAAAA